TGTTAGCAGGGATGGGAAAGATTGGCACTTGCTGCTTCCTTTCCTGTTTGCCTTTCGGGAGATTCCCCAAAGTTCCATGGGCTTCTCCCCATTTGAGCTTTTATATGGCAGGCACCCCAGGGGTATACATGATGTCCTAAAGCACATGTGTCAAACTCAAGGCCCAGGGGCCAAATCGGGCCCACCAGGTCCTTTTCTAGACTTCTACTTTCAGATCTAGGTATTAAGTTATTTCTAAAACCAGTGATGATCGAATGCAGAAGCAATTATGATAAATATTAGATACATTTATATAGTCTTACAGATACCTTTGAGGGCAACCATAAATGTTGATACGCCCACGATTAAATTGAGTTTGACACCCCTGTCCTAAAGGAAACCTGGGAAAAGCAGGGAGTAACCGGGACTAATGTGCTCCAGTATGTCGAAGATATGCGGGTGCGTATCACTCAAATTGCTCCTCTTGTTCGCCAGCATATGGAGCAGGCTCCAAGTATGCAGAAGTCCTACTATGACCAGAGAGCCACAGTGAGACAGTTTGGAAAGGGGGACAGAATAATGGTTCTAGTACCCACCACAGAAAGTAAACTTCTAGCACAGTGGTAGGGACCCTATGAGGTTTTGGAAAAAGTGTGCCCAGAAAATTATAAAGTTAGTCAGCCAGGATGCCGAAAGAAGGAGGCTGTGTTTCACATAAACCTTCTTAAGCCATGGAGGACTAGAGAGGCCTGCACGGCCACAGTGGGTGACACAAAGCCTGATCTGCAGTCTCGAAGACCTTCAGTGACAATCTCTCCAGACCTGACACCTGAGCAAATAGAGGAGACTAGACGCTTGGTTGAGAAGAATAGAGATGTCTTCTCCCCCAACCCTGGACAAACCCCGATATTACCCATGATATTGTTACAGAACCAGGGGTTACCGTAAGGGTAAAATCATATCACATTCCGGAGGCAAAACGGGAAGCTGTAAGGGCTGAAGTCAAGAAAATGCTTGAGCTTGGCTTGATAGAGGAGTCTCACAGCCAGTGGTCCAGCCCGATTGTTCTAGTGCCTAAACCTGATGGGTCCATCAGGTTCTGTAATGACTTCAGGAAGTTAAACGAGGTGTCTAAATTTGACGCCTATCCCATGCCTAGGGTGCATGAACTAGTAGAGCGACTAGGCAAAGACAAGTTTTTCACTACTTTAACGCTCTACAATGTCCTCCACCACCACCACCCACTAACTCACTGCCCAAGACATTGCCATTAATTTCAAAAACAAAATAGATACAATTCGGGATCAGATCGCCACTGTGCAGTCACCTTCCCCTATTCATGTTCCAGACCCTCCATCACACTTGTTACTTTCTTCTTTTGACCCCGTCACCACAGAGGAGGTGACAAAGCTTCTCTCCGACATCCACCTCACCACTTGCCCCCTGGACCCTGTTCTCTCAGCACTACTTCGGTCACCCTCTTGCTCTATCCTACACTCTTACTCACATTTTCAATCTCTCCCCATCTACTGGCATCTTTCCCTCCCCTCTGAAGCATGCCCTGTTCACCCCAATACCCAAAAAACCCTCAACGGACCCTACCGACCTCAGCAATCTCAGACCAATCTCCTTACTCCCATTCACCTCCAAACTCCTAGAACGCCTTATCTACAGCCGCCTGTCGCCACCTTGCTGATAACAACCTTCTCGACCCCTTACAATCTGGCTTTCGCCCTCTACACTCCACTGAAACCGCCCTCCTAAAACTCACTAATGACTTACAAACAGCTAAAAACAATGACCACTATTCTCTACTCTTGCTATTAGACCTTTCTGCTGATTGACACTTTTGACCACCTGCTCCTCCTCAAAAAACTCCAGTCACTTGGGCTACAAGACTCTGCTCTCTCGTGGTTCTCCTCCTACCCATCTATATCTAAGCTCTCCTTTAGTGTCACCTACAACTCTAACTCCTCCCCTCCTCTTCCTCTAGGGGTCCCCCGAGGCTCTGTCCTTGGGCCCCTTCTCTTCTCTATCTACACCTCCTCCCTTGGTCAATTAATAACCTCCCATGGCTTCCAATACCATCTCTATGCCGATGACACTCAAATATATATTTCTACTCCACAACTTACTCCCTCAGTGTCCTTGCGTGTCACTAATCTACTAACTGACATATCCGTCTGGATGTCGCAACACTTCTTAAAACTCAACCTTCTCAACCTTTCAAAAACTGAGCTCATGATATTTCCTCCCGCACGAGCACCTTCCCCCAACTTTTCCCTTGAGATTGTTAACACAACTATCCAACCCTCCTCCCATGCCAAGGTCCTAGGTGACAGCCTCGACTCGGACCTCACCTTTCTTCCCCACATCCAATCACTATCCAGATCCTGCCGCCTTTACCTTTGTAACATCTCCAAAATACGCCCCTTCCTCACCAAAGAAATGACTCATCCACTCACTTATTATATCTGGTCTTGACTATTGCAACTCCCTCCTCATTGGCCTTCCACTACACAGGCTATCCCCCCTTCAGTTTATCATGAATGCAGCTGCCAGACTCATTCACCTAATGAACTGTTCAACGTCTGCAGCCCCCCTCTGTCAATCCCTACACTGGCTTCCACTCGCCCAAAGGATAAAATTCAAAATATTCAAAATCACTTACAAAGCCATCCACAACTCTGCCCCCGGCTATATCTCAAACCTTGTCTCAAAGTATCACCCTAACCGTCCGCTTTGCTCTTCCCAAGACCTCCTGCTTACTAGAAATCAAAAATTAAGAGATCTCGCTGCACTCACTTACCGAAAAGAAAAGACCCGTGTGGCACTTACCGAAAAGAAAAGACCCGTGTGGCTGGGTGGGTGCTTGTAGTGACCACAGATGGCACCATGAGAAGATCAGTAAAGGAAATAACGTTTTCTGGAACTCTTTACCCCAACCTGTCTGTCTGTCTCCCACCTTGACTGCCTTTAGGCATTCCCTAAAGACTCATCTCTTTAGGGAAGCCTATGCCACATCAACCTAACTGCTCAACCATCATGTTCACAAACAATCACAAACAATTCATCCCCACGCATCTATCTCCTCATGTATCACCTTCCCCTCCCTTTTAGATTCTAAACCCTCATAGGCAGGGCCCTCCTTAACATCTTGTCTTGAATTGTATTGTGATTGTAATGTCTTCCTTATATTGTAAGGCGCTGCACAAACTGTTGGCGCTATATAAATCTTGTATTATAATAATAATAATAATAAATACTTTAGACCTAACAAAAGGTTATTGGCAGATCCCATTAACAAAGCCTGCCTGGGAGAAGACAGCCTTTGCCACACCTGATGGCCTGTTTCAGTACAGGATAATGCCTTTTGGCCTCCATGGAGCCCCAGCCACTTTCCAAAGATTGATGGATAAACTGCTCAGGCCCCACACCAAATATGCGGCCGCATACTTGGATGACATGATCATTCATAGCCCAAACTGGGAAAGCCATCTGGACAAAGTGCAGGCAGTGTTGGACACTTTTAGAAGAGCTGGACTGACACCCAACCCCTCTAAATGTGCCTTGGGTTTAGCTGAGGCTCGATACTTGGGTTATCTGGTTGGCAGAGGACATGTTAAACCGCAAACGAACAAGGTAGGAGCTATACAGAGCTGGCCCAAACCACCAATTAAAAAATAGGTCAGGGCCTTTTTGGGAATTGTAGGCTACTATCAGAGGTTTATTTCTCACTTCTCTGCAAGGGCCGCTCCGCTCACTGACCTTATTAAAGCCAGAAGTCCGGACACGGTGAAGTGGAACAGCGAGGCTGAGAAAGCCTTTGCTGGTCTGCGGGCAGCGCTTTGTGCCCAACCTGTGCTTGTGACTCTCAACTTTAGGAAGGAGTTCTTTCTCCAGACCGATGCCTCAGGAGGTGGGTTTGGGTGCAGTTTTGTCCCAAAATGTGGGTGACGAGGAACACCCTGTTCTGTATTTGAGTCGGAAGTTGTTACCTCAAGAACAACGCTATGCCACAGTGGAAAAAGAGTGTTTGGCGATTAAGTGGGCAGTAGAAAAACTCAGCTATTATTTGTTGGGCAGGCGATTTACCCTCGTCGCGAACCATGCTCCGTTAAAATGGATGCACACCAACAAGGACAAGAACGCTAGGGTCACAAGATGGTTTTTGTCCTTGCAAACCTTTTACTTTAGTGGTGCACCATAGGACAGGCCTCCTTCACAGTAATGCGGATGCTCTGTCCCGGGTGGGGGGGGGGGGGGGGGGGGGGGGGGGGGGTGAGGATATGTGACAGGGTATATGACTCTGTGTATGTCAGTGAAAGATTGAAAAGGGCAACTTTCCCTAGGTAAGATGGATTCAAGCCTTGCCCCAACAGGTACACCTCCTCTCCCTATTAATTAGCCTACACCTGATAGTGACTGGGGGGGAGAGAGAGAGAGAGAGAGCGCGATCGAGGGGAGAGCAATCGGGGGGAGAGCGAGCCGAGAGAGAGAGAGATCCATGCTGAACTGGATGGATGCATGCACAGACTGGAGAGCGCCTGAATACCTGTGGGCTAAGGTCTGGCTAAGAATTGTATGTTAAGACTGTTTCTTTATGCTTCTTTTTGGTACTGGAAGCTGCAATAGCCGCTCCAGTAGGAAGTAGTGAGGGAAACTACTGTTAGACTCCTAAGGTGGAGTAGGCCTTTTTATTTTGTGTTACTGCTGCCGAAAGCTGTTTTGTTGAATAGGGAGAGAGAGCCCTATTGGAAGAGACTGTTTATGATTATTCACAATAAATCTGCATATACTGCAAACTACTGAGTACAGACCAGTGACCTTCTTACAAAATATATGGAAAAGCTAAAGAAAACCTATTTGGTCATAACTAAAAAAAAACAATAAATTAAAACCAATAAAAACTAAAGTTTTTTTCGGCTTATATTTCTACACTTCTGGTCACAATAAGATCAAATTCATACAAACAATATAAAGTCTTAATAAAAGTAATTATCATGACGTTATTTACTCACATGTGATTTGATCTTCTCCCTCTACTGGTTTTCTTTCTTACTACAGGGGTTCCAAAATGCTCAGGATTGGTAAGAGGAAGCTGATCGAGTGTCTGAAAGGAAAATACACAAGTTGCCACTCTTTAATAATTAATATACATAACTTACTTTTTTTATTTAACTTTTCAATGGGACCTGTGCAGCTTTTTTTTTACCTCCCAAAGCAAATGCTGATCCCTGAGCAAGCACCTCCAGGTTGCACATAATCTTAGATAATTTGTTCACCCTAGAATGCCCAAAATATGAGGATCAAATAATCAGAGTCAATTAAAATATACAGTATCTCACAGAAGTGAGTACACCCCTCACATTTTTGTAAATATATTTATACATTTCATGTGACGACACTGAAGAAATGACACGTTGCTACTATGTAAAGTAGGAAAGTAGGTAGTGTACAGCTTGTATATCAGTGTACATTTGCTGTCCCCTCAAAATAACTCAACACACAGCCATTAATGTCTAAACCACTGGCAACAAAAGTGAGTACACCCCTAAGTGAAAATGTTCAAATTGGGACCAAAGTGTCAATATTTTGTGTGGCCACCATTTTCCAGCACTGCCTTAACCCTCTTGGGCATGGAGTTTACCAGAGCTTCACAGGTTGCCACTGGAGTCCTCTTCCACTCCTCCATGACAACATCACGGAGCTGGTGGATGTTGAGACCTTGCGCTCCTCCACCTTCCGTTTGAGGATGCCCCACAGATGTTCTATAGGGTTTAGGTCTGGAGACATGCTTGGCGGTCCATCACCTTTACCCTCAGCTTCTTTTAGAAAGGCAGTGGTCGTCTTGGAGGTGTGTTTGGGGTCGCTATGTTGGAATACTGCCCTGCGGCCCAGTCTGCGAAGGGAGGGGACCATGCTGTGCTTCAGTATGTCACAGTACATGTTGGCATTCATGGTTCCCTCAATGAACTGTAGCTCCCCAGTGCCAGCAGCACTCATGCAGCCCCAGACCATGACACTCTCACCACCATGCTTGACTGTAGGCAAGACACACTTGTCTTTGTACTCCTCACCTGGTTGTTGCCACACATGCTTGACACCATCTGAACCACATAAGTTTATCTTGGTCTCATCAGACCACAGGACATGGTTCCAGTAATCCATGTCCTTAGTCTGCTTGTCTTCAGCAAACTGTTTGCGGGCTTTCTTGTGCATCATCTTTAGAAGAGGCTTCCTTCTGGGACGACAGCCATGCAGACCAATTTGATGCAGTGTGCGGCATATGGTCTGAGCACTGACAGGCTGACCCTCCGCCCCTTCAACCTCTGCAGCAATGCTGGCTGCACTCATACGTCTATTTCCCAAAGACAACCTCTGGATGTGACACTGAGCACGTGCACTCAACTTCTTTGGACGACCATGGCGAGGCCTGTCCTGAGTGGAACCTGTCCTGTTAAACCGCTGTAAGGTCCTGGCCACCGTGCTGCAGCTCAGTTTCAGGGTCTTGGCAATCTTCTTATAGCCTAGGCCATCTTTATGTAGAGCAACAATTCTTTTTTTCAGATCCTCAGAGTTCTTTGCCATGAGGTGCCATGTTGAACGTCCAGTGACCAGTATGAGAGAGTGAGAGCGATACCAAATTTAACACACCTGCTCCACATTCACACCTGAGACCTTGTAACACTAACGAGTCACATGACACCGGGGAGGGAAAATGGCTAATTGGGCCCAATTTGGACATTTTCACTTAGGGGTGTACTCACTTTTGTTTCCAGCGGTTTAGACATTAATAGTTGTGTGTTGAGTTTTTTTGAGGGGACAGCAAATGTACACTGATATACAAGCTGTACACTCACTACTTTACATTGTAGCACAGTGTAATTTCTTCAGTGTCGTCACATAAAATTATATAATAAAATATTTACAACAATGTGAGGGGTTTACCCACTTCTGTGAGATACTGAGCTGCTTACTTTTGTGTGAGATGCATGGAAAATGCTCAAGATAGTAAAATGGTCTGTATTTGAAAGACTAGTACTGTAAAATGTAGAATTGACTCTTAGGAGTTTTCTTTCTTTTTTACATGCTTTACCCGACTAGAGAATAATGTCAGGCACATAAGTGTTGCACACAAAAATTATAATAGTCAACATAAAAAACAAATGTTATTAGCATGGATTAGCCTTTCTATTGAATGTTAAACCTTTGAAAAAAATATGCCACAATATCTAAAATTGTAGGGAAATAGATACATTGATTTTTAACTAAATTGTATAGCACTACCTACTGTGTTACTCCAGCAAATTCATTAGACGATGAGTGAGTGTGTAAAGAACTTTGATAAAGTGGTTTATTGTGACCAGCAATTTAGTGGTGTGCAACCCACATTTTGTTCGGCTATGGCCAGCTAAAACAGTAGGTGGTATAAAAAATATTCAACCACACCCAAAAAGTGCATCAAGAAAACAAAACATTAAAATAATGAGTGCCTAAGATACAGACAACACACAAAAAGGAAATAAAAAAGATTATAAGATCAACAAGACCAATAAGAATATTTGGGGAATGTAGACAATCTGGATGGAGATCGAGGCACTGAGAAAAAGGAATGGTAAATTAAAATGTATGGTTTTATGGTCACCTTGCTTCAGATTTTGCTTTGCTTATTTATGTTTAGTTCTCTACTAAATTTTGAACCATCCTACCTTTCTGATTTTCGAACACACATGTTTTGTTTTGTTTTTTGAATTTTCTTTCTCTGCCTCTCATCCTCAAACTATCCATATTATCCACATGTCTTGCCTAAATGTATTGCTGCTTTCATTGTTATTATAATCTTTTATTTTCTCTATACCCTTTATTTACTGTTTGTATCCTATGAGTGGGTCATTGTTCTATTATTGTTATAAATTATGCATTTTTTGAGTGTAGTTGATTTAGGGCTGGCATCCAATATACATATTGGCTACAACCAGTGATGTAATTATAGCCTTAGAACCCCACACAGCTGCTACTATACCTGGGGGTTGTTGAGGCACATAAAACATAGAAAATTTGTGTGAATGTAGAGATTACACAAATCCAGTAATACAGTGGGGGACAAATTTGTTAGTGCCCTTCCACAAAAAAAGAAAAACCCACCATTGTCTATTAAATAACTTGAAACTGCCAAAAAATGTTGGCATGTATCACTGTTTATTTAATATTTAACAAAAATCAGTGTGGTGCATACAATGATACCATACAGTAGGGTGACTATTTCTTCATTTAAATAGGCTGATTGACTAATTACAAGATTGAAGATGTGTTATACTAATTACAGGAAACAGTGACTTTGAATTATCACTATTGTGCCGCCCCAATGGGGCATAGCAGTTTTATTTAGATAAGGATTTATATAGATTGTTTTCTTTATACCATTTTCCTATGGATATTCTATATTTAGTTATATGCTGCCATCTAGTGGCCTTTTGTGATAATACACCTGTTTTTCCTGTATTCCTTTCCTGGTCTATGACACATCTCCTGTGTGTAATGCGCCACCCTTCTTGTTGGTCAGTACTTCCTGTGTCATGGCCACAGCCAACAGGCCACGTGTATTCTGCACAGTACGCTACCAAAGCATCATCTTTTGACCGCATAATTCTGAAACCATTCATTCTGCTGTTTCCTGTCATCTGCTGTAACCCTGATGTTCAGAATAAAGCAACCCTTTTTGGATGAAACGGTATTGGTGAGTTCAGCTATCTGACAATGATTGTCCTCAGTGATTGAATCTGCTTATACAGGCCAGGCATAGAGGTCTCAGCAAGGGATAAGTCACTAGCACAACAATCGGAGTCAGCATAACTATGATCCTTATACTTATATTTTTCTTCTGGGAGTACCAACAGATTTGTATAGGCTTTTTTAGAATAGCTTTATCAAATAAGTGATAATTGAGCTCTTCACGCTTTTTTGCTTTACTTTATGACATACCAAAGGCATGCAGGTATATATGAAATAGCTGCTTTTAATGCAATCACTTTTCAGGAGGAATGCAGCATTGTTTTAATGAGCTGTAAAGGTATCAACAAATGTGTCTATGACTGTATATCATGTTGCTGTATTATAGGGGTTGTAAAATTTGTCGTTTACAAATTGAGAAGTTTCCAGTCTAGGAGAACTGACATCAGACACACAGGAGGTGCCTTTGGGTTCTCCGGCCTTACTACACACTACCCTCCCTGGCTTTCCTTCCTCCCCTTCGAGTTTTTTTTTTTTTTTAACTTCAGAGCTTTTAGTCATAGCCACTGCAATATTAACCCTGTATGCCTGATAAATATAACCAGGGGCTGCAAAAAACAGTGTCTCCTAAGTTATAAACTCATAAAACAGCTGTGACCTGAATGTAAAAAACAGCAACAGTTTAAGAAATTGTATTAAGGTGATAGAATAGTTGTTTGTGATAGCACTAACACTTAATAAAAAGAAATCATAAATATTATTGCTATTAATATTATTGTTGTCCAACTTGACACTGCCATGTACCAGAGAGAGAGAGAGGCTGCATGGGGGCTCTATTAACATGTTGTTTTGGGGCCCCATGATCTAGCTAGACCCCATAAAATTAAGTCATCAGTCTACATAGCGTGTAAAGATGGTACATATTTGACCCAAATTACGTAAAGCTGGTATTACTATAAATGTGTGACTATATCAACAACCTCTGTGATAACTTCTTCACACACTGTACTGATATACTCCAGAATGCAATGAGCCCTGGAACAAAATGGTGGATGGTGCCACAGTATACAATACAGAGGATATGTTGTTCGCACACCATTCTGCTTCAAAATATCATTTTTTACCGTGTCAGAATATCCTATCTTCTGAATCTCACAGGGTCCCTATGTCGCGCAAAGTGTCCACTTTACATAGTATTTGAGGTTAAATAAAGACACAGGTCCATCAAGTCCAACCTTTGTGTGTATGTGTGATTGTGCATTTGTATATGTGTACACCAGTCCCTTTTCCGTCCTTGTTTTTAAGTGTACCTGTACCCCTGTATGTTACGGTCTCCGAAGAAGATATCTGAATGCTTTTTGAATGATTCAATACTCTTAG